GATGTTAAACAGCACCGGCCCCAAAACTGTTCCCCGGGGAACACCGCTAGTGACTGGCCGCCAACTGGATTTGGCTCTGTTGACCACAGCTCTCTGGGACTGGTCATCCAGCCAGTTTTTTACCCATCGATAGTGAAGCTATCCTGGGCTGTGTCAGTGGGGACTGAAAGGAGAGCATGAGGAGGAATGGTGTGGAGGCACAGGGTTTCTGCATATGCTTGCTGAAGATTAATACAGATCCAGGGAATCTGAAGAGTTACGGGCCCAAGACTTTCCTTTTTCAGAAGGAAGGAAACTTTGCTTCTCTGTACAGAAACTTGCAGGAATTCACAGGGCAAATCCTAAAGGCTTGCTCCTGTATTGTCATTCTTTTTAGTTCTCTTCTATCTATCTAAGCCGCAAGCAGCCAATTTATTTAGGAGGATGCTGTGGGAGACCGTGTCGAAGGCCTTACTAAAGTCTAGGTAGACAATGTCCACAGCCTTTCCTTCATCTACCAAGCAGGTCACCTTGTCATAAAAGGAAACCAGATTGGTCAGGCATGATCTTCCTTTCATAAATCCTTGTTGGCTGGGACAAATAAAAAGCAAGAGAGCAATCCATCCTTGTAAGCAAGAGAAGAATGTTTTGCCGAGTGTCCTGCAGTAAGCGGTTTTGTTTCACAAGAAACACTTAGTGCTAGATTGACCTCATTTCTGTTAGAAAGACCCAAATGCTTGTAAAAGTATGTACTTGATAGAATATTTTCAGACAGTTCTTTCAGATGCATTAACTCCTTTTTTCTTAAAACATATCTAAAAAGAACAGCACTAATATCTTCATCTACTTAGATACATAAGATCTGTCTGGAAATCAGCGTTTTCATTTTACCTTGTTCCACGTGTTCAATAACTCTCAAAGCTTTTCTTGCAGCCCATCCTCCCATGGACACGTGATCCTCCGTAGCAGCACTGGTTGAGAGAGAATCCACAGAAGAGGGGTGGCACAAGGCTTTGTTCTCAGAAACTGCAAAAATCCAGCGCAATGAGTGTAGGACAGAATGGGCAGGAGACAGCAGAAGCAATGGCCAGCCTGGAGCAAAGAACCTGCCCACCACCTCATGTCCAACTATTGCTCCTCTTTTGAGGTGTTTTACCTGGATGGAGTAATTTGTAATAAACACCTTGAAAAGTATCAGTGCCTCTGAAAACAGTAACCAATATCAGTCTTTAGATGCAAATGTTAAGCAAATATAGAAAGACTCCTCACTCCTCCTCCACCTCCGGGGTTGGGTTGCTTTGGCTCAAAGGTCTGACGGAAACTGAAGAAAAAGAGTGGACAGCACAGCTGAAATAGAAGCCTGGTCCTGCCTGTTACACCAAGGCAACTCTTTGTAAAGAGCGTTGGTTCCCTCTGGTTTGGTCACCAATGCTGCCCCTCCCCTGGTTTCAAGAAGAGAGCTCGAGATCAGCATCTGGTCTCTTCTCATCGGAGCTGAGGCACTTGCAGAACTTGCTCCAGGAAGACACAGGAGCATGATACAAATCCTGTCCCACCCTCCTCGCCTTGCTACGAGGCTGCCCATGTCCCTCCTCTGGGCACGAACATCCCTGAGCGTGGGAGCCCTCCAGCTTTGAAAGCTGAGTGTGAGACCTGGAGTAAATCTCTCAAGCTGCACCCAAAACCAAAGGGAATTTGGCTGCGGGAACAACTGTAGACACCATCTGATGACAATCTGAGGTTGAGAATTGCTCTTTAGAAGAGAAGAAGCCAAGTCTGCGTTCACAGTGCTCTGGCTGCACGCAGACCTTTTCTTTCTGAAGCCCAGCAGGATGCTGCGTAACACTCTCGCCAAATTAGGGGCTTCAGAAAAGCAACAAGAGCAACAGAGAGGTGGTGACACCAATTGCAAATAGGTTGGAGCAACATAGTCCAGGGCTGGAGCCCACCTGGTGCATTCAGGCAGGCAAGAGCCGGTCCCAGAGAGGCTGCATGTGGCTCCTGCAAAGAGTTCGGTCTGGCAGGCACAATGTTACCAGCAAGGAAGGGAGAGACGCATCCAGCTGCACTGCGAAACATCTGCAAATTTTTTTGCAGCTTTATCTATTAACCCTGGGAGTGAACAACATTAGCTGGTACACAAACACCTTAGAAAGTTGCAGAGTGACTTTAAAAATATTAGTAATACCTAGTTTAAAAAAAAAGATAAGGAGCTCAAACTTCAATTTTAAATTCTTGGTTATTTTGACCAGGGAAAGATGGTTTTAACCCATGGAATCCTGGTGTCAGTCCAGCGATGAGTTAGGAAGCAGGGCTGTCATTTTCATTCCCTGCAGCAAAGACCACAAACATCCAGAATCTCTCGCTCCAGATTGCAGAAGTGAGCTGCGAAACCTGAAGTCAAGCAACAGCTAAGGCATGGAGCCATCCTAAACTCTGCCCAGCCAAAAGGAAAAGTTTCCAGCCTTTGAATGAAGGGATGAGCACCTCAGCTTCTTTTCCAGCCCCAATTCCCAAAACGACCTCTAGGCAGGGGTCCTTTACTACATTGATTTAGTTCATTGACTTTTTTTTTTCTGTAGCACATTTATATACACATTTATCTGACATCCTCTGTTCCTTTATCTGTTTGCTTCTCTTATAATTTACTCTCTACTCATAGCGTGTGTATCTTTACCTTGGCTCATGCTTTCCTGAACCTATGAACTGTAACATCCCAGCAGCCAGCAGGCTTCTTGTTGCCTTAGTCGTGACTATCAGAGGAAAAATATACTAATGTTTATTTTTAGTGTGTTCCTCCGATAACCAGCCCTGGGACCTCCAGACTCCTGATGACTGTGGAGGCCAATACTGAGCTACAGACCTGGCCATCAAATGAAGACACCGAGTACTAAGGGTATCAGGCCCAGCTTTGAGATAAGTGGTGTCCCCGTGCTAGTGAGAAGCGATGAGCAGAGGTATCCCCTGCTTACAGCCCATAACTATTCGAACAGAGGTTCTA